CTGGTGAGCTCTGTGGAGCTTCAGGAGGGAAGCCTTTCACACAGGAGAGGCCCACACTTCCTGAAGCTTAAGTGCAGACAGAAAACACAACGCCACTGCTCGGACTCCGGGAAAAAGGAAAAGCCATATATCTCTGGGTAGAAATTTCACTTTGCGACTGTGCTATCTCCCACTAGCTCCGCCCTCCCAGCCCTGACCAGAGCAGCTGATCTGCTGCACCCTTTGGTATCAGTAGCTGCCTGTGGACAAGCAGACTATGGTAATATGGTGGGTCTCCAGATGATGACGTCTGCCCTGTTCTCCCCGTTAGACTGTCAACTCTTCAAATAACTGAATGAGGCCCCCTTTCCCCGGAGCTCCCCGGTGTCCAGCTCAGTGTTGCTCCAGGCCTCCTGAGTGTTCAGTAAGCAGGGAACAGAGCTCTCAGCACTCAGAAATAGGAGGACGCTCATGCTCACCAACAAAGAAGTTTTGTAAAACTAAGAGTTGGATTCAGCATGGAAGTAGTTTTGGGAAAGAGACAGACAGAGGTTAACTGCCACGGAGATCAAAGAACCTGAGAGGAGAAAGAATTAAGATACAGCCACATGAGGACAAACACACAGACCTATAAAAGACAGCCCAATGTCTGAGACCATGGAGTCGCTTCCAGCCCAAACAGATCAATAAATTCATCTGCTATAGCAGAGGTTTAAGGCTTTATGCTCTCAGAAGTTTTGCCACAGGACATGAACATGGGGACACACATGCCTTCCAGAATGGGCCCATGTCAGTAAGATGAACACAACAGTGCTGGGCTTCAACAACCGTCAGTCCTTGGCACTCTTGATGGCACTGCCATGACTCTTCCAGTCGATCAACTCCTCATGAAGCTTAACTTTGAGGGCGGGATCTCCCACACCTGTCACCCAAATGTTGGCTCTTCACCCACTAGAGAGAAGTGGGGCCATGTGGCAGAGGGTCTACAGGAGCCCTGCTGTCCACCAAGGTGTCACTGCCTCAGTTTGTGGAGAAATCTCTGCCTAGCTCCCTTGCTGAGGTCTCCACTGTAGCCAAGGGTACCTGGTACTCCTGGCAGGCAGAAGCAAATGCTGGCAGCATCTATGGGCCTCTGTCTGGCATATCTCCAGGGGGACAACTAGACCAGAAAGACAAATCCCTTCCTAGGCAACAGTTACTTTAGTTATCTATCTATCTGTCTGTCTGTCTTTTGGAGATTTGCTCTGTAGGCCAGTATGGCCTCAAATTTACAGAGATCTGTCTGTCTCTGCCTCCCTGAGTGCTGGGATTAAAGGCATGTGCCATCATGCTCTGCTCTATTTTTTAACTTCATAAACGACTACAAAAGTATCAGATCATCTGTCTGTTAGACTGTAAGGCAATCCACACAAGTTAATTAGGCAAGACCAATGGCTTTAAAGTGCCAGAGGCCCGCAACTGAGTCCCAGCTCCATCACTGCACCTGTCACTGAGCTTTAGAAGCCTGTATTCGATCGTCAGGTGAGGCTGAGAGCAGAGAGTGATGTTATGAGGAAGAAATGACTTGTTTGTGAGGGCCTGACTCACAGCTTGTCAGCTCTCAGAATTAAGTGATCATTGGCTTTTTGTTTGTTTGTTTGTTTGTTTCATTGTTTTTCGAGACAGGGTTTCTCTGTAGCCCTGGCTGTCCTGGAACTCACTCTCTGACCAGGCTGGCCTTGAACTCACAGAGACCCACCTGCCTCTGCCTCCTGAGAGCTGGGATTAAAGGGGTGCACCACCTTGCCCTGCTTTAAGTGATCATTGTGATCATGAGGTATTTCCAAACACAGTTAAGAACATGCAGATAGCCAGAATAGCACTCAACCAACCAACCAGTGTTAAAGCCTGGGAATTTTATTCATAGTCATATTTAATTTAGGGTGACTTTATACCTAAATATAAGAGTAAATATAAGAGTTTTAATATACCCTAGACTAGCACTACATGCCAGGAACTTCCTTAAAAACAGTAAGTTTGTTATCATACCGAACCTTTGTAATTCCATGAAGTGAGTATTTTAAATTGTGTGTGTGTGTGTGTGTGTGTGTGTGTGTGTCATGTGCACATAAGAGCATATAGGTGGAGGCCAGAGGTGAAGGATGCCCCTGGAGCTGGAGTGACAGGTAGTTGTGAGCCACAGGACATAAGTGTGGGAACCAAACTCAGTTCCTCTTCAAGAGTAGTTAGTATGTGATCTTAACTGGACCAGATCTCCAGTTCTATTTTAGTATTTTTGAGAGGTAGTTTTATGTAGCCAAGGTTGGCCTTGACTCACAATATAGCTAAGGATGACCCTGAACTCCAATTCTTTCCTTTCAGCCTTCTGAGTACAGGTTTGTGCCACCGTGCCTGGCTTATATAGTGGTGGGAATTGAACCCCTGGTGCTATGAGCGTTGAGCAGGTGACTGATCAGGTTGAATTTGGTGACAGCTGCAGGTCCACCGACTGTGGGAGTTTGGGGGTGAGTAAGTTAGAGAGGTCGAGAAAGCTTTCTAACAGCATTGTTGCCTGCCTCTACTCACTGCTGGGGTCAGGACATCAGTGGATTTACAAGCCCCCAAGAGCACAGGCTACAGAGCACAGTTAGGTAGTTTTGACTGTACCATAAAGAAAAATCAAATTATATGATATGTGTGCTTCATAAGACAGGAAGAAGAGGAAATGTGGGTGACATGTGAAGGGGTAGACTGTCAGGGAATGCAGTTTTTTTCTGTGTTGTTTGCCCTGCAATGATGTATCAACGATGTTTTAAAATGAAAGGATGAATGAAAAATGGAGCTCCCTAGATGATTATCTCATGAATCACTGTATTTTAACCCAGTGCGCTCTCTCTCTCTCTCTCTCTCTCTCTCTCGCTCTCTCTCTCCCTCTCTCTCTCTCTGAGACAGGATTTTGTTTTGTTGTTCGTGTTGGTTTTGAACTGGTCAGTCTCAACCAATCCTCCTGCCTTAGCACGCTGGGACTACAGCATGCACCACTGCGCCCACACTGCCTACCTGAGTTTCTATGTGGTTCTGAGTATCAGAACCCTTTGGCTTACTCTGCCTGTGAGCTTAGACCTCTAGCTTTTATACTTTGGGCCTCTGTTGCTTTGGAAGGGGCTTATTCACTATTTCCTTGGATATTTTGAAGGGGTATGTGTTAAAAACAAAGACGCAAATGTACAAAAGTTACTTTTAAAGAAACGGTGTGAGTTGGGTGGAGAGGATGTTGAATGGCCTTGCTGGCACAGGCAGCCATCGGCAGGGTTTTCAGATTGTTCTTTGGCCAGAGCTGACACTGGCAACAGAGAGAGCGCATATGTTCAGTAGTGAGGCCCGTTTTCAGGCAGAAGCCACTCACAGCTCCGTTTATAACCCTAGAGCATGGCCTCTTGAAGTTAGATTTTGTTTTATGTCTATCCGTATCATATTCCCTAGGCTCCATAAAAAGCTGCTTCCCAAGTCCCCAAATGAAGCTTATAGAATCTGACTACTTGAAATGCAGTTAAGGCAAATTTGAAAAGATCCTAAAACAGGCATTTCAAATTGATAAAATCATAACAATGATATCTTCAAACTACCCTTGATTTCTGGTTATGTGACTATGGAAAAACCTCCGGGAACTTGGAGAGCGGGCCCTTCAGTGGCAGCACACACTCACCATGGCCCACCGCCAGCAGGAAGACTGGAGATGGGGTGTGGGGGTGACCTTGTTTCCGCAGACTAGACCAGCCAGCTTTAGCAAATAGAGGTTCAAAACAGTCAATTCTATTTGAATTTCAGATGAAGAATAAATCACACACACACACACACACACACACACACACACACACACACACACAAACTTCCTACTGAATGCTGCTGTTGAAAACTTATTTTCTATAAGTATTTCAAATGTACCAGGTTGTTTCAACTTTAACCCTCTGTCTTGGCCTCTGTCCCCTATAAAATTTGGGCTATGTGGGAGACAGGGATGTGTAGGGACTTTAAGGAATAGCCTAGGAGATAGAAAAATGAACAGCACGAGATGGTCATCCCTCCCTCCCATCTCTTCCTCAGTTCTTCTCTAAGGAGGCTCCATGGCTCTGGGTAACCCCTCTCCATGTTGGTCCTTCCCTTTCATAATGAAAGCCTTCCCTCATTGCTCTGGGAACCTTCTGCAGGCCTCCATTTTCCGCAGCACACCCCCAACCCCTCTCCTCCTGGAGAGGCAGGCAGTCTATGCTGCTGTAAGCTTGGGGGACCAGTTTTCTTTGGCATGTTATTGGTTTTGGGGAGTTGAGTTTTGGACAGGTTTGGAGAGGGCTCTGGAATGGAAGTTTTCTTCCCCACCATTTCCTCAGAGACTCCTCTTCCACCCACTGACTCAGATGTTAAGATGCGCATCAGGTGAGACTTCAGGACCTGAGACAAACCAGGGATGAAGCCAGATGTTGGACTTCAATGATGGAGGGACCCTGGGACACTGCCCTGATTCTGCCAGCCCACCCCTGACCTCAGCCAACACAGACCCCCGTCTACTGGTCTTTAGCAGCACATGCTGCATAACCACACAGATTTCACCAGGGCAGGGAAGACAGGAGACAGCTCCTGCTTTCAGGCTTCCAAGACTGTCTTACAGCCAAACATTTATGGCTTAGCTATAAATGCACGGGAAAATGAAAGAAACATTGACACAACAATAAAACGAGGGGTGACACGGATGGCGCCACAATGCCATCTGTTATCACTTTGGTGCAGAGAAAATTAATTTTTGAAGGCATTTCATTTAACTTTGCAATATTTTGCAGTCTGACATTTGATTTTCTTTTATTTGACTTCTTCCCCTAAAATCTAAGAATGGTGGCAGGTGGGTGGGGGGAGGGGAGCAAGCTTAATGCAACTGTAGCTCCAGGTCAGGTGAGTGATCTGGACGGAGGCAAGCAAAAGTCACTACTGGCCACAAGGAGACACCTCCCACCAAAGCATCCGTGTCCAAAAAGACAAATATGTGTTACCTTCCAGAGCAAGGCACCGGGGTGGGCTGGATGACCAGATAAGGTTGTGTAAGCACTCGAGGTACTCAGAACCCTCGAGTTTAAATCCAGGGAAGCAGCGATAGGCGATCACAGTTCCCACGGGGAAGGAGGTCTGGAACTCAGAGATGTTCACGTAGCCATTGGAAGAGGCTAGAGGTCTCAGGCAGCCTGCGAAATGTGAAAGCAGAATGGAAAGGTTTCACTGGGCCGCCTCTGTGCACATGTATGGCCAACGGTACAGAGGAACTCTTTGGGACTGCCCCTTAACAGGAAAAGTACACTGCAGGCTTGAGCTACATATGGGCAGACATTTGATGCTATCTGGGGTCACGAGGGGCAGATAAAGGGTTAGGAGGGCAGAAGGGGGGTGAATGGGGTATGGATCAGTGCCCCCCCTAGCCAGCTCAATCTGTTCTGTGTGGACCATTAGCATCATTTGAGGGGCTTTTACAAACCACTGGTGCCCAGAAGGAGAGCCTGGGGTCACAACATGTTTATGAAGCTCCCCCGTGTCATTCAAGGTGACATCAGGGCTGAGGACCACTGAGGCACCCTAGGAGGAAGCAGACATTCCAATGGCTAGGTGTCTGCCTGCGCTGACAGTACCGGATTTCTGGGGATCTGGTTTGAAGAGAAATAGGTTAAGACTCTTAAACTGTGCCGGCTTTTCAAATGGAAGAACTCCCCCAGAGGGCTTGATAGACACAGACTCCAAGCCACATGCAGGTTTTGCCTCCACAGGTATCAATGGAGCCCAAGAATACGTATGCATTGCTAACAGCCAGGTGGGAGGAGGGCCTCCTGAGAAGCACAGGCTCTGCGCCCCAAACGGAACACACGAGGTGCTATCAGAGAACAAGTGGGAAAGCAGACCTGGGATCCCTACCTGTAAGGCACTGGCCGCCTCTGGGTCTTGAAGCCTGTGCTATGCTAACGGCACAGAATTCTGCTGTGTGTGCCACTCCTGCTGCTCTGAAGCTGTAGTGAATCTTGTTATGTCACTGGAGTGCATAATGAGATCACGGTGCTGTTCTTCCACAGGGCAAAGCATGTGTGTGAAGCAAACAGCATACAATGAAAATGCTGTCAAACACGGGCTTTGCACTCCATACGCAATGGCAGGTGACCAGGCCCTCCTCCAGGGCTGGCAGTGTCAGATACTGTCTTGAGGGGCTCTCTCAGCGGCTCTAGTACTTGTGCACCAGAGTAAAGAGAGACAAGAGAGACACCCGGGGTGCAGAACTCAGGGTCAGTCATCATACCTGCGATCCTGTGATCCCTACCACACCGCTGTGCCTTAAACACCAAAGGCCACAATCTGAGCGTACCCTGACTCAGAACCAGTCAGGACGTTTCTAGATGCCCCCAAAGGTGGGGGAACTCAGCATCTTTTTACTCCATGTCATTGTATTAGACTGTTTTTCTCAACCCCTGGCCCCTCGGAGTGCTGTGTGTAGGAGAGTATGGAGGCTGCAGATCAACCTCAGGTGTCTTCTATTGTTCTCTCTGTTTGTGAGAGAGAATCTCTCACTGTACTAGGGGGTCTCTGTCTCAGTTCTGCTGGCTGGCCTAGAAATTACCCTGTCTCTGTACCCCCCGCACTGGGATGCAGACCCTTGCCAGCATGCCATGCCCAGCCTCTGTGGTACTGGAAATCCCAACTCAGATCCTCATGCCTGCAAGCACTTTACCAACTGGGCCATCTCCTGAGTTCCCTTCCCTAGACAGCTTTTACTTTCCCTGAGCTAAAAATTGGTAATATTCACAGCAAAGGTAAAGTTGTGGGGTCTCAGGGCAGAGTGGAAATCAGGAAGAAATGGAAACAGTAATTGAGAAATGGCACATAAGTCCATTAGCAGGAACAAAGGAAGGCACAGTTGGGACGCTTACACAGTTCAGGTGGCTGATGTGCTGGCCAGGCATTGCTTCCCATGACCGGGTTCCAGCTGTAAGCTACTTGTGTGGAGATGGTGGTCTTTCCCAAATCACAAATGATCCTGCCCCACGGTGAGCAGGGCATGCAGACACTCTCCAAAACCTAATGTACCAGCCAAAAAATGGCCTCTGAGCAGCCTGCCCTCCCCGCCTCCCAAGGAGATGGTAGAAGCTGTAATTCATGCAGCTAATCAGCACTGAGATATGCTCACTCTTGGTTGGAGACAGCCCATCTTAAATATAACAGTGGGAAACGGGCTTCAACTCAATAGTTCAATGGGATTTCCATTTGCACTTCTAGATAATAGAGATGCCTACTGGATCTATAGGTGCAAATAAAAGTTCTAGAATGAAATGTCACTCTTAGAGCCAATTACAATCCACCAGGGGGCTCAGAGAGGTGCCAGGCTGCCTGCAGCAACTCCGAACACTCCTTTCCTGTGCTGTGCCAGCTGGGCGGCCAGAAGAGAGCTGCTGCAGTGGCAGCTGGCAGGACTCTGTTGTCAGCAGCAGCGAAGCACAGGATGGGCTGGGGCCACAGCCCAGGCAGGGCACCCACTCTGTGGGATGGAGTGTTGTCTGGAGGAGTGACAGCGGGGCTAGGGTCTGGGGCATTGTTCAGGGTAGTACAGCTCTTAAGAGGAACCAGGCACAAGCCTGGTGGGGTAGGCCTGTAATTCCAACTACTTGGGACACTGAGGCAAGAGAATCACAAGTTCCAGGCTTGTCTGGGTTATGGAGTGAGTTTAGGGTTAGCGTGGGCAATTTAGTGAGAACTTCTTTCACAAAGAGCAATACAAACATAGCTCAGAAGCAGGGCACTGGCCTGGCATGTGTGAAACCCTGGGTTCAAATCCCAGAAATACCATAAAAGAAAAAGAAAGAAAGAAAACGAGCAGCCAGTCAACTCTCTTGTTGCTGGCCTAGAAAAGCCATATCTTGAGGATGGGCGAGGGACTGAGACTGGCCAGACAGAGCAACAGCAAGGCACATGTGTGAGCTCTTAAAAATAACATCACCAGCGGCCACAGGGAGAAGGAATCCCCAAGGAAACCCACTGTATTTAAGCTGTAAAAGGGGAACCAGATAGAAGGAGAAGCCACGGAGAGAGGATGTGGAGAAAATAGGACTGCAAGGCATGGCTGGGGTCTGTGCTGATTCTCCTCACCCGTGACTCCGGCCCTGGAATGGCTTGGTCCTGGAATGAGTCTGTGACTAACCATGTTTATTTGCACGACGAGCCCAACCCAGGCGCCGGTCGCTTGTTTTGTAGGCCAGTCTCGGAACACACAAATAAAACCCATGTCTCTTTTAGGGTAGGCTAGTGGCACAGGCCACAGGGCAGGGAATGTAACGGCTGGGCTTGTCCTCCGTCCTCCCAGTTCTGAAGCCTTTGTTCCTTTACAGGGTCGCAACTCTAAGCTCTCGTGTAGGAAAACAATTTATTTCTGATGATGGGGCACACAAAGCAATATCAGGGCCTGCCAGTTGTGATTCCCAAGCACAAAGTTAACATTCATCTCGACTGGAACATGCCAGAGCTTCTGGAGCAAATTTGAATGCCCTCCTTCTCCCCCAAATTATGAATTATGCATTGGCTTTTTGGTCCTTTAGACCAAGTCACATGTCAAAAAATAAAATCAGAATTAATGTGAACTGGGGGGCTTATTTTCAAAAACAGGTCCCTCTATATATGGTGGCTGGGACAAATTTTTAAAAACGTAAAAAGATAAATATTCACTGTGCGGTTTGGAAGCATTTGAATGTGATTATTTTTCTGCTTTTCATGCATTATAAAAGAGATAACATTATGAAGAGAAACAGGCCCTGTAAGATGGCTTCCTATATTCCCACCACTGCTGGAGTATCACACCCTGCTATTTCCCTTTAAGTGTGCAACGATTCATCCCTATGTACACAGCCCAGTCACAAAGCCTCTTTATTACTAGTGTGTGCATGTGCCCACCCATGTGTGTGTGCACAGGCCCGGGCACACCCTCGCAAGCCAGGGTGCCTGTGGTGGTCAGTTCTCCCCTACCACTATTAGTGCATTCTGGAGACCAAACTCAGGTTGCCAGGCTTGCAATTAAGCCCCTTTCCCTGTTGAGCCCCTTCATTAGCCCACTTCTCCTGGTTCTTAAACTACTTTTCTGATTCTCTAAGGGGAAGGAATATAAGGCCCGACACACTACAGAGTAAGGTCTCTTCTGGCTAGACTGGGAAACCTGGGTATCCGGTGCCGAGTCACAATAAGGAGCGATGGTGAAATTCTAAGTCACAGGAAGGCCGGGCAGGACCCACACAAGGTGCTGTTAGAGGATCATGCCCACTTCTCCTGATTCTTAAACTACTTTTCTGACAAAAGTGGCTCCCGCCTCATACCTTGACAGATGGGCAGGTTATCCCACGTTCCATCATCGCGACACAGCGAGACCATGTTGTACAGGTCAGGGTACCGGATCTTGAACCCCTCATGACAGGTGATGATTAGTTTATCTCCGTGTCTGTATGTCTTGTTATGAATCTCAGCATCTTCAATTTGGGGGATGCGGCAGTCTGCAATAAAAGATGAGCATTGCTTTTGCAATTTAAAATGGTTAACAGCTTTACAAGAAAGCCCTGATTTTCAGCCCCAATCTCAACCTACACGTAACAAACAGACTCATGGTACCTCACCTGTCACCAGACTCAGGTGACAATGACAAGTTCACAGCTTGCATCACCAAACTAACAGGAAGAGGGACCCAGCATGCAAGGACCATATCACAAAAAGAGCTTTATTTTCTGCCTATGACACTCTCTACCAGACAGTTGATCTTCTGAATAATAGTGGAAATAAATGAAGAGTTGGCTATATTTTAGACAGGATTTAACATTGTTTGGCCTGTCAGGCTGGTGAAGGTAGCCACCCGGGCATGGACAGGGCCTGGCCTCAGCCTGATGATCAGACACGGTGTACAGAATCGCATGGAGGCTGAACTGCCTCTGTGTGCTTTTCAAAGGATGCTAGGCCAGCACAAACACTCTTGCCAACCTCCTAGGGTTCAGGACAGCTGGGCATGCTGTGTTCTCACACAGAGCGCCTGAGAGTGAAAAGGACAGTAAGGAGGAGAAATAGAAGGTTAAAGGGGCAGGGAGGACTCACACGGTGGAATGACAAAAACACACCAAAGGATGCAAGATGAGTGTCTGCTTCCGACCCTGTCTACTCACAATTTACTGTAGGAGCCACTGTGCTCCTCAGTGCCAAATTGGGACTCCGCTCCTCCTACCCCCAAACACTGTATAACGTGTCCCCTCTGGTTTAAGTCACATAGACCACAGTGTGTGTGTGTGTGTGTGTGTGTGTGTGTGTGTGTGCAGGGACAGAAACCAGGACACTGAGTCTACAGGGTAAATGTTCTACCTCTGGGCTTTATCGCCAGCCTGGCTAAATGCTCCTGATTTCAGATGCATATAGGTTTGTAAGTCTGACCTGGAGCTAGGTTATGCTCCAGATTTATGATTTCTTCATTCTTTTTTGGAAACAAGGCAAAAATCTAAGGTTTGTATTTTTCCAATCAGAACCTTTCTCCAGAAAGTCTTCAATGTGCTAACAGATCTTTGGCTTCTTAGCTACTCCCCAGAGGCCAATGAATCCACAATGTGGCTGGAATAGCATTAACAAGGGCCCTGTTCATCAAGATGCTTAAGCTGGGAGCTGCCAGCTCTGAGGCCCCGAGCCCTGGAAGCCCTGAAGGAAAGGACTTCACAGTGGCTGGTGGCTGGTGGCTTTGTCGCTCTACAAAGGGCCCATCCGAGGGCACAATGGGGTTGGGACCATGTTCTCTAGTAGAAGCATGGGATGGGCCACAGAGACTCCATAAGTCAGGATGTCCTAAGCAATGAGGAAGACTCGGCAAGAGGCCACAGAGACTCCATA